ATGCCAGCAGGCACCGAAACTGCCACCAAATCGCAATTGACAAAATCAGAGATTCATGCCAGAGCGCCGCTGTGTGGTACTCGTACATTTTCGAGTATTACTCAAATTTATGATTCGGGCAGAGGAATGAAAGAGAATGTGCACTGTGCTGGCACACCGAATTCGGCCTGTGATAATTATCCCAATTGGCCGCCTGCCTCTCTCTCTCTCTCTCTCTTACATTCTCTCTTTTATGCATGCAGAACAGCAACTACGATCAATTCCCGTTCTCATTCTCTTCGTTCTTATATGTAAGCAAAGACAACAACGCAGCAGAGTGCATAATCCGTTATGTGTGCTGAGAGCGGGGGTGGCCGCCTGCGAAGAGTAACTATGACTGAAGCTGTACGAGGTGGTTCACTCCCTCTTTCTCGAGTACACCAATGCAGTTGTAGGTGCAAAAAGAAGCTAAGAAAAGAGAGCGCATGGCGCGACTGCACCACCTTGTGTAGTTTCTTTATGGTATCAGCCGAGTGTGCAGCAGCAGCACTGCAGGAGATTAATATAAAAACTTACTGAGAGAGCGACATCGTGTGTATTGTGGGAGATAGAAGAAGCTTCTTGCAGAAAGAGAGAGACAACAGCGACTCAACGCGCTTAGAAAACGCAGGTAGAAAAAAAAGGTCAGCTTTACCGCTCGCACGCTGAACGCATGTGCATATATACATGCAGGCACATGCAGGCACACGTATGTATGTATGTACACCCGAAAGCTTAAGAACCGCAATTACGCCCAGCGCATTCTCTTATGCTCGCAGTCGTAACATTTTGTGACCAAAAAATCCCAGCAGGTTTTCTACTGTTCAAGCCTCCTGCCTCCCACAAATCTCCCTTTAAATGTGAAAAACAATTTTGTGAATTTTTTGAAATGTTTGTTAATTACATTTATTGTTTCGCTTTCTCTTTATCTTTCTGTTTTTGTTGTTTTTTTTTTTAAACTTTCTTTTGTTTTATTTTATTTTTATTTTTTGTTGGCTCTTTTTGCGCTTCTTTAGTTTTGATTTCCTTCCATTGCCATCCTTTGTATTTTGTTGTTGGTTTTTGTTATTGTTGCTGTCCCTTCGCACACTGCCGAATGTATATTCGTACAATGCCGTTATATATGTATGTATGTTTTTATTGTATTTTATGTGTGTGCTTGTGTGTGTGTCTGTATAGGTCTAAGCGGGGGCTGTTTATGGGGGCTGTTGGTCTCTTAAACATTTAGATATTTATATTTTGTTTTTGATTTAATTTTATTCTGCTCGAGCAATACGATACAAAAAAAGGAGAAAAAAAACCAGGAGCGGGCGAATTATTCACTTATTTCGTAAGGGTGGCTCTAAGATTACATTTTATCGTAGTTTATCTGCGTTATCGATAATCATAGATAGGTAGTATTGTTTATCGTTTATCGTTATCAGTTTTGGCAGCGCTTATCATCTGCCCCGAAGGCTCGCGCTGCCGCTGCTGCTGCTGCTGCTGCATTTAGATACATACATGGATACATTCATAGATTGATAGTACAATAGTTGTTTTTGTTTTCTTTTTTGTTTTGCTTATACACACACTTTGGTTTCTCCTGGGCTCCTCCTACTCCCACTCGATCCATGGATCCTCCATCCTTACACTCTAGATACTTTATATTTGCTAGTTCTGGGAGGGGGTGCGTGTGTGTGTGTGCTCCGCGACACACACACACACAGTGGACACTAACTATAGCCGATTATTGAATATTATTTAGTTGGATGCGCGCACAAAAAAAAAAAATATATATATATATGTAGGGATTAATAAATACAGTTGCTTGTTTTCTATAGATATATTGTAACTAGTTTCACTTGTTGGTTATCGGTTAAACACATATACTATATAGATACACAAATCTTTACATCCACGCTGGTTTAGGTTCTCGATCCCTCTCTCTCGGTTGGAGGACAACCCTTCATCGACTCTCCCTCTCGCTCTCTCTCTCTCTGTGGATCTGCCTGTGTGTATACATCTTTCGGTTCCCGCTACGG